GCAGACAAATCGATTTCAAATTTTTTTGGGGGGTGGGGGACATGCTCTCTTTTTTTTGCACAAAACTGTGTCCCTCATTCTATTCTTCCTATTTCAAAGTGAGTTGCATATTTCAAAATTCAACTAATCCAAATACAATTAGGGAAATACTTAGGAATAGAATTCAGAAGGGGACATGACGACATGTGCACACATATATGAATAGATAAGAAGAGAGGGAAATATGCATTTTTATATACGTGTACGGGGCTGAATAATGTCAGCTAGCATCGCTGGTGATGTAACAGATACAGATGCAGAAAATTGTATCAATATGCTCACAGTTCAGATTCCAGTCGAGTTTATTTTATATATATATATATATATATATATATATATATATATATATATATATATATATATATTCCTCTCCAGCAGCCACATCGTTAAGAACAGTCCAGACAATGCGTTTTTTTTTTTAAATTTTAACCCATTACTTGCCATGAGCCCCATTTAGGGATCTGTTAAAATTATACTCATTACATTTTATTCCTTGTATTTACATTGAAGTGCTTACATATATTCCATTTGCAGAGGTATATTTTACAACACTTAACATTTAAAGTTTTTATTATTAGCCGTAAGAAGACACTTTCTGTCGTTATTTTTCGTTTTACGAGTAAAAATAATAACTATTTTGAAAAGTATTTTTTATTATTTCTAATCAATATTATTTTTTGATGTTTTATACACATATATATTTAATGTTCTAGTTTCTAAAAAAAATGACAATGGTAACTACCGACATTAAACATAAGGAATAAATAAACTCATAAGGCACCTGTCTCGGCCAAAAATGCGCATTAAAAAAATGACAATGAAGAAGGGATCAGCCAGTCTTAGATGATATATATTCAAAACACTGCCAAGACATCAGGTACCAGAGTAGCGGGTTACTTTTCATTATTTCATTACTCTTCATATCATGTTTCTCACTCTTTCCTTTCAAATCCTTTGCAAAAAGGCTCAAATAAGATTTGTAATTACATTCCAAGACAATATTCGGAAATCTTAGTTTGAAATAGAAACATAAAATAATATTTAAGCATTTGGGGGACTTTTATTTTTAAATCCATTCTTATTTCTTATTGATACAAAGGATGGATATGCTTTCTGGTGTAATACATAACGGTTTCGAATGAGAAAGCATACAGCCAAGATGTAATTCTGGTCAGGTTCATTACATTCACTTACGTCCAAATACAAGTGGAAAAAAAAAACTGAATAGTAAGAAAGACTTGAGTGGCAACGTGTCTACCACAGAAAGAAACGACAAATTTCTGTAGGAAATCTTCATAGGCGTGTATCCAAAGTGATATGATCGCTTCAGCATGTATCACGTATGGCACTTAAATAACTGGCTGACTATACAATTATATATAGTGGCTACGCATGTTGTATTTTTACTTGGATTTAATGGAAGTCTAGCAAAGTTAGAGGTAATTTTAAAAGAAACTATTTTATGGCAAAGAAGTCGAGAATAAAATACTTTAGCAAAAAAAGATTACAAAACATCTGTCCTCAAGTTTTCAATTTTATTCAGTATCAGATACTTATATATCTTGACCTTGTCATAACTTTTGGGAAAAAGTATTCAGATTTTCTCAGTTGTATACGGCATAAGATAATCAGCGATTATTGTTGCGAATTTCTTTCAAAATTCCTCGCTTCCCTGGTAAAAGAATCCAAACCTGTGAGTGGCACATTTTCACGCTGCCAATGAAAATGAAATAAGCTAATCAAAAAATTAAAAAAGAAAAGAACATATTTCTATTGAAAAAGAAAACAAGTTGGGTATACAGAGATTTGTGTTAGATATATGCATAAATCAACATTCATGTTCATATAAATTTGTCTTGAAGTTTTAATATTCTAAATATTTGACAGACATATATGTACGACCTTTTCTGTCTCACGCAGTTTTCACCTTGCTTCCATATCTATTCATTTGACTGTATTCTTAAAAGACTTGGATATATGCATAGCAGAGTGGTTATCAATACGGAAAGTGAGATTGAGGTTCCCATTACAAATACTAGAAAAGGCTGTTGAGTTAGATGTCCTATAACCCCATTTTAAAAGTAGGAATGTTTATCTGTGTGGAAAGTGAGACTGAATTTCTGATTTAAAATATTAACCGATGGTGTTGATTTCGCTTGCACATAATTCCACAGGCAAAAGTAAGAATCTATCCTGCCTGCAAATTGTTAATGACATGGCCGACTGTGCTCTCTCGTCTTACATGGCAACCGATCTAGGAGAATGAAAATCTGACTTCAACTGAAAGATGAGTGACCTTGTTCAGGCTCTGCTGAATAAGGCACACATTTACGTCTGAAGTCCAAGTGCTTCCCAAACATATTAATGTGATCTAGGACTTGTAATGCAACTAAAGTTACTTACACGCAGTTTTAGTTGATATTTTCAAAATAAATAAAAATAGAGAGTGAAACACAGAGACAGGCTAATAATTTGCTTTGTTCGTTATGAATTTAGTTCAGGCAATTATTATCGTAAAAGAACATCAGTGAAGGAACTGAAAGATTTAATCTGACTAGAAGTCAAAATATCTACTACTACCAAGGCTTCATCGATTTAGCTTGGACAAGAGAGCTTCCATCCTTTCTTTCTATCATGGTGGTCTGCATTTCTCCAATGTTTCATTCTACATCGTCTAGTCGTTGTTTCACAAATGCTTTTGCAAGTCAACATCTACTATATTGTGTCATGAAGTGGGTTCCATATTAACACGTCGTTAACAAGTTCTTTCCGGTGTCAACAGCGTACTATACGTCTTAATCTATGCTTCAGTATGGTTTTGAATTGAGAAAAGATTTTGCATAAACCCCCTTCTTCGAAAGATTGTCATGCAGCAAGATGTAAAAGGCAGCCCGGGGCAACATTTAGTGTTCCCTTCAAGTGGTTGAACCCAAAAAAAGATTTAATTTAACATTCGTAATATTTGATTTAATCTTTTGAAAGTATAAGCCCATGGGTTAAGAAGGGGAATTTAATTTTTCAAGTTGCTAAGTAAAATGTAGAATAGCTTACAACAATTGCATTTTCTGAAAAGGAAATAAGTGAAAATGCAGTTTTTTTCTACTCTGTCTATGGAATGAAATGCTTTCGTAAACACTCTTCGCAGAATCTCGAGAAAGATGACCGACAGTAGATAAAAAATAGTGATGTTTAATTCTTTTTTGTGGTGAGGAAGACTTTATCTTATATTTTAAAAAAAGATTATAATAAATGGGGTTGTTAACTGGGTGATTTTATTTGATTAATTATCTTCACTTTAATTTCCGACGGAATCAACAGAATTCTCAATATTTTTTTCAAGCATCATTTCTTTTTAAATAATCTAATAACTCCTTCTATATGAAATGTTCAGCTTAATAAGCTTGCCGGGAGAATATTTTTCTCATTAGAATCACTTCCCTTTTCCAGAGTTTTTCTAGATATAACTTGTAGCATATGACAATCTGTCTTAGTTTAGTTTTTAAAATAAAGACGTTCATTATTACTCTAAAAAGCCAGAAAAATCAAGAAAGCACTAGGTAAGTTTCAATAATTCACACAATGACAAATAAACATGAAGAACGTCTACACATGACAATAGACAATGTCTGTCTCACACTGATAGTGACTATCATATTGCAGTCATTATCATATTAGGGACAACCACTGCATAGTGACGATAATGAGATGATTTATATAATACTGCATAGTTAAAGTAAGTTTAATACCACAGTTCAATCTTCAGAACACGTGCCACAACATATTTTGCGAGCTGTATATTTATATAGCGCACTAGGGTATATTGATGGAAAAAATACAACATTTGGCAGTTACTTTGTATCGGGCTAATGCATAGTGTTGTTTATAGACATAAGAACAAGATTGGTTGGTGGATGCTTGGATGAAGGATATATGTAAATAGGTTAGGTTTATATTAATATGCTCTCCAGATTACTTATTTATTCATGTGACTGTTTGTATATATATATATATATATATATATATATATATATATATATATATATATATATATATATATGTAAAGAAATATAGTCTTAAGGTGTGCTATATTTATGGGATAAGGTGCTAAATATCAGAGATAGAGCACCTGTAAATTTAAAAGTGAACATTGAAGTCAACAATTAGAGGCGACAGTCTGTTTAATGCTAGACGCAATCATCAGGCCTGAGGATTGCATCTAGCATGAAACAGATTGTCGCCTGTAAGTGTTGTCTTCAATGTTCACTTTTTATATATATATATATATATATATATGTATATATATATATATATATATGTGTGTGTGTGTGTGTGTGTATGTGTCTCTGTGTAAAATGTGTATGCATATATATCTATATAGATATGTGAAATTTTATATATATATTATTTATATATTATTTATATATTATATATGTGCGGTACTTATTGGAAAGGGCTCAATGTCAGTGATAGAGCTGACATATTTTGTTAGATCCAAATATATATATATATATATATATATATATATATATATATATATATATATATATATATATATTGATAATATTAGTGGTAAATATACATACATATGCAAAATATATAAATACCCATACATGTATATATATATATATATATATATATATATATATATATATATATAATTCAATTGCTCTGTATATTTTTAATTTTTTGATAATTTCTAGGATTTTCTAATTTAGTAGGTGGATTTTCGATAATTATATCAAGGTTATGGGATTAAGGTTTATATTTACTCTCATTATGTAGTTGTACGTAGCGTAGTTTTAAATTGTCTATCTGTCCAGCAATGGAAATTGCTCTCTGATCATTCATTGAGGAGAAGAACGTAGTTAACTCTATTTATTCCTGTAGACAATGGTTACATCTGTTCTTGTAAGCAAATGACATACACACACAAATCTACAGGATGCAGACACTAATGAAGC